TAAAATAAGGCTAATATCGGTATCATACAAACTTATGATGGCAAATCCCAATTAAGATTTTTGACAATACCAAGCTGTCTTACTCATCAACTGCCACAAAAAGCAGTGCATTTAAAATCTCCTCAAATTTCTGACAAATCAACCTACTTCACCACTCAGCTGACTTTCCTTCTAATAGATAAAGAAAATAAATCCTCACAGAATAAACTTTCAAAATTAATTAAATCAAACCTATGAACCTCTTGCATCTATGACCCCACTTCTCTGTGCCCACCTGTTATATTGGAGAACAGGTTCTCCTTCAATCTAAATGTCTCCACTTATGTTCTGTGTCACATTAAATAACCTTATAAAATCCATCATATTATCTTTCCCTTTTATCATAATCCTCTCCATTTCTACTGTGTATCTCCTATCATTTACACATTTTCAATTCTGATTTAAATAATATAAAATAAAGATGAAACAAAGAGGAGAACAAAAACCAAACCTGATACCTTTATGAATTTCACTTAGTCTCCAGCCACACATCACCCCAGGCCTTTCTTTCCTATACATGTTTCTCTCATTCCGTTTTTACTACTTCATACACTATTCAATTTCCCTCTCCTTCCTTCAGTTTTACTTCTAAACACATAACACCACAAAAAAAATGTGTTTTCTTTGAAATCAATGATGCCATCTATGCCACTTTTTTTTTTTAAGAGAGAGAGAACAAGTGAGCGAGTGGGGGTTGGAGAAGAAGTGCAGAGGGAGAGAGAAAATCTTTTTTTTTTTAATATCTACTTATTTATTCATGAGAGACAGAGAGAGAGGCAGAGACACAGGCAGAGGGAGAAGCAGCCTCCTCACAGGGAGCCTGATTCAGGACTCGATCCTGGAACCTGGGATCATGACCTGAGCCGAAGGCAGATGCTCAACTGCTGAGCCACCCAGGTGTCCCAAGAGAGAGAATCTTAAGCAGGCTCCACACCCAGTGCAGTGCCTAAGGTGGGGCTTGAGCTCACCACCTTCAGATCATGACCTGAGCTGAAATCAAGAGTCAGACACTTAACCAGCTGAGCCACCCGGGCACCTCTATGCCACTTTTTCTGATGAGCATTGCCTTAGACATAACTGTACTTGACCTGTCAGAAGAATTCTATATTATTGAAAATTTTCCCCTACATAATATATTCCCTGGGATTCCATGATTCCATGCTCTTTTGTTTTTTCTCCTATAATTTGTCCATCCTTCTATTCTCTTTTTTTGCCTAATTCACTTAATATTTTTCTTATACTGTTTCAGATACTTAGTTCTAGATCATTCAACTCTACTATATGTTCTCCAGATAGAGTACTGATGATTTATACACAGGGTGGTGATTTCTAAATTTATAAGTCTTGTTGAAATATCTCCCATGAGTTCCAGACATTTTAACCATCTGCCTACTTTGCATCCTTAGAGTGATATTTAAAGTAAAATCAAAGTCAGCATGTTCAAACATCAAACCCATGAAAAATTCAGGCACTTTATCTCTTAAAAGACATAGTAGACAAGGATTACTTTAAGTGTCTGAGCAACTAGAAGGATGAAGAGATGGGAAAGATGAAGAAGATGAGATAGCCGAAGAAGGAAGGAAAGGTCAGAAGTTCAATTTTGGATGTGATATGTAGGCTGTTACTATATATCCAAGTAGAGATTCAAAAATACAGTTAAATACATGAGGCTGAAGTTCCATGGCGAGAGTTGTTGGCTAAGAGATATAAATTTGAGAGTCCTTAGAAAAGGTTGGTGGTCACAGCCAGAAGACTAGATAAGATCACCAAAGGAGCGAGGATATGGAAGAAAGATAAGGGTTCAATGTCTAGGAAAATTGAGGAGATGAGGAGGAATCAGTAAAGCAGATGGGAAAGGGGTGGCCAGACATCAAGAGAAAATTCGCAGAGTGAGACAGTATTAGAAATCAAGTGAAGAAGGGATAAAAGTGCTTCTTTTCTGGCTTTCTCATCTTAGAGGCATCTTTACCCTTCTGGTGACTCAGATCCTCGAAACCATCCTCATCTATTCTGTTTCTCAGGATACAGAGTTTATTCTATCAGGAAATCTTGACAGTCCTGATATTCCAACTGCACCGCTACCACACTGTTTCATGCATGATCACTTCCCACCTGGATTACTGCAAAACCCCTTCCACTGGTCCCTCTAATTTTTTCCTTGCCCCTTTTAACCTATTCTAAATAGCCAGCCTGATTCTACCTAATGCAGTTCAGATAATGTTACTCCTCTGAGAAGAGACTTTCAGTGTTTTCTCAGCTGCTTTAGTATCAGAGCCAAAGATCTAACAAGTGCCCCAGATGGTAATCTAGCCCCCTTTTTGCATTCCCGACCAAACTCCCCTTACTCAGTCTAGTCTACTCAGAGCGGTCTCCTTGGCAGTTTTGACAATGCCAAGAACTTTGGTACCTTAGGAAATGTGTGATTGTTTTTCTCTTCTAGAATCTATTTTCCCCAGATAAATGCCCCGACTATCCTCTCATCTCATTTAAAATTTTGTTCCAGGGGATCCTGGGTGGTGCAGTGGTTTGGCGCCTGCCTTTGGCCCAGGGCACGATCCTAGAGACCCAGGATCGAATCCCACGTCAGGCTCCCGGTGCATGGAGCCTACTTCTCCCTCTGCCTATGTCTCTGCCTCTCTCTCTCTCTCTCTCTCTCTCTCTGTGAATATCATAAATAAATAAAAAAAATAAAATTTTGTTCCAAAGTCATTTTATCAGTTGATGGAAATTTGGACTCTTTCCATGATTTGGCTATTTTTGATAGTGCTACTATAAACATTGCGGTGCAAGTACCCCTTTGAATCAGTATTTTTGTATCCTCTGAGTAAATACCTAGTTGTGCAGCTGCTGGGTCACACAGTAGTTCTATTTCTAACTTTTTGAGGAACCTTCATATTGTTTTCCAGAGTGGCTGTTGCCATTTGCAATGACATGGCTGGAGCTAGAGTGTATTATGCTAAGCAAATAAGTAAGAGAAAGAGAAATACTATGTGATTTCACTAATATAGGAATTTAAGATATGGTAATAACAGATGAAATAGGGAAAAGAAAAAAAAGGGACAAAGAGGCAAACCATAAGAGGGGCAGAAACCCTCTCTCAACTATAGGGAAAAAACTGAGGGTTGCTGGAGGGACAGGGGAATAGGCTAAATTGATGACGGGTATTTCTTTTTAAAGATTTTATTTATTTATTCATGAAAGACACACAGAGAGAAGCAGAGACATAGGCAAAGGAAGAAGCAGACACCCTATAGGGAGCCCAACATGGTACTCAGTCTCCAGACCCTGGGATCATGACCTGAGCTGAAGGCGGACACTCAACCACTGAGCCCCTCAGGCACCCTGGGTGATGAGTATTAAGGAGTACTCTTGTGATAAACACTGGATGTTATATGTACATGATGAATCACTAAATTCCACTCCTGAACCTAATATTATACTATATGTTAACTAGCTAAAATTTTGATTAAAAACCTGAAACATGAAAACATCATTTTATCATTGTGGACCCATGTAAGATTGCAGTCACTTACTGTAAAACTACCTTCTCTGGTATATCTTTTTTCTAAATAGAATTTACTGACATTTATGCATTATGTTACTTTGAGGATATATTTTTTTTATTTCGTTTTGTTTGTTTTATTTTGTTTCATTACTGTTTTGTTCATCCTTTGTAACCTTGTCACTTGGAACAGTGTCTGGCACATAAAAACAATCTGTACATATTTATTTAAAGAATAATGACTAAATGAATGAATGAATGAATGATCAAAGAAGAGAGAGGACAGAAACAGATTCTTTTTATTAACAAATATGTCTTTGGAAAACTTAAGCTTGTTTATCCTATATTATGAAAGAATAATATATTTTTAAATCAAATTCATTTTAAAATTTTAGTTTTAATGAACAACAGATACTCTAAATTAAAAATAAACCAGAACTGGAAAAAGTAAATTAATTAACAAAGGAAAAATCAGGATCTAAAAGACTGGATCAATTAGGACAAGAGAAATAACACACAAAGTATTAAAAGTCTAATAGAATCAAACATTGAAGAAGCATGTTACATAAATATATATTTGTCAAAATGCATTTGTATCCTCAAATATGACTCTGGAATTAATCCTTGCAGCAAAATAAGTTCTTATTTTAACTATTTTCATAAATTTTACCAAAATTTATTGGGATTCATACAATTCTGAAATTTTATTTATATATACGTGTCATTTTTTAATTAGAAATGTGTTTCAAAATTATTTTTAGTGTGAGGCCCTGAAACTTTTACACAGTGTAAACTGTGCTTGAATATTAATTGAGAAGGTATAGAGGGCACAATTTCTACTTAAAAACTTGAAAGCAAGCTAATTCTTTTGGGGTTGCCTGGTAACTAATAAGGAGTATGTCAAATTGAAAGACAGATCTGACTGAAGCAGCATTTGAATAAATAATAGAATTGTTGTCAACTTTAGCCTTAGAGAAGTGAGGCAGGGACCAATTCTAAGTTAAATTGAAGGAAAGACAGTTGAAATGTCTTTTGTGTTTTTTTTAGTGAATTGTCCACTGTTTGCCCTTAAACTTTTTCTCCTCACCAACAATTTGTGATTAATGCAAAGACATTGAAAAATAAATTCTGAAGACATCACTCATTATCTGTTGAAATGAAATGAAGTGGCCTAAAGCTTTTGAGAGGCATGATTATTTATTATTCATTACCATTTATTTATTTATGAATCCATATTATTATAATGTATTAGTTTCTTAAGAAATATATGTACAGTAAGAATGATAACTGCTCCAATAAAAGATTGCATAAGTATTTTTTAAGGTGAGATTTGTTTACAATGACTCCAGGGTATATGTACAACAAAATATCTTGACAAGTATTTAGTTACCATGATCTGTTATATCAGGCCATTGATCACATACTCACAGTATTTGACCTATTTCTATTTTAATTCCAGCAGGAAAAGAGTCAAGACAGTTCAAGAATCAAAGGTAAGAAATGACTGTTTTAAGATCATAAATTCCTATAAGTATAGGAGAAGACAAAATTGATTTGGCTTTGAAATTATATCTAAAAATGAGAAAACAGTAAGAATTTGAAATTTTCAATGTGGTGTTAAAGCCACTGTGAGCCCTTTGGGAATTCTACAAGGTCACTGGGGATCCTCCATTGAGGTCTCCTTTCTTCATATAGTGTTGTTGGAAACTTTGACAGAATTTTCTGAATTGTTCTTGTGGCATTCCTCCACCAGGCATTTTCCAAAGAGTTGGTGTTCTGTTACATCTATGGTGAGAGTTGTTGGCCAGAGATATAAATTTGAGAGTCCTTAGGAAAAGGTTGGCGGTTAAGGCCAGAAGACTAGATGAAATTTAAAAAAGATGTCTCATAGGAAACCAAGTATTGAGTCACTGCTGTCTCCTTTTGTTTCTATGAAAAATCAAGACAATATTTATATGTTAAAATTTGGTGTAGCTTTTAGTATGGTATAGTCCACTCTAGTCAGACATAGGGAAACTCTTTTCCCCATAATGACATTCTTATGTTTGATGTTTATTGTTGAGATAATAAATTACACTAGGTAGATTATAATCCTGCAGCAAAAGATTTCCATTAACTTGTTTTCCTGTTGATCATAATAATGAATTTAACAGATTTTTCCTGGATTAATCCTTCTGGCCTCTCCCTTCACATCCTAGCCCTTCTTATTCTACAAACTAGACATCCTCATCCACCTATCCCTCTCCAACAGTACATAGTCATGAGCCTGACTATGGAATGAGGGATGATTTTCCTGTTCCCTTCATCCTTTTTTGCACAGAAATATAGATTTATTTTTACTTTAATTTTTTTAGAGTCCTACAAAACCAAAACTAAAACCAAAAACAAACCAACCAACAAACAAAAAAATGTGGAGAAGTTACTAAGTTTACATGTACTTCTGAAATGATGAAAGGGCGGGTAGTCTTCTGAGGGTCTCTAAATTGACATATCAGTCTTGCTTACTAATAACAAACCCAAATATAATCTTCTCTTCACATTTCTCTGCAACAAATTCAATTACCCAATATGTTTTCCATGTTTGGTCATCTGTGTGTGTCTGTATTACTGAAGAATGTGAAAATACATTTTTTTTATTTTGGTAGTTATATGTTATTCAAATGAATTATTTAAGACTTCCCCTCCAGCGATTTCCCAAACTATTTGTGTTCTTTTTCAGCAAACTGCAGTATGTCTTGTTATTTTATATGTGAAATTATTACACTTATTTATCCTCAAAGCACTCATATTAACTCAAAGTTTCATACTTTTGTGTTGCAAAAGGGAATTTGTATTCCAAGATGTGCTGTCTGATGTGCATTTAAATGATGTATACATTTTAAGCATACTGAGTACACATCTTCTCACGAAGGGTCCCAGTGTTTCAGGTTAATCTTAAATCATATTTATAATTCTGTTATAGTTGAAATAAGTTTAGCATAGCTTTCTTCTTGATGCTTTATTGTCTTGGGATATATAAATCCTATCATCTGAAGTAGTAGAAATTATGTTTTTTCAACTACTGCCTCGGAACATGTTTTCTTTTATAATGTAATAAAATTTCAAGATGATGCTTGTCACTTCTTTCACCGTTATTGGCTGACACTTGTTTCAGAACTCTCACATTATGGCTTCTAGGCTACTGAGTTGTAAGTAAATCAGGGACATACAGTTTTGTCAGGACCTGTTGCCTAACTCTATTTAGGACTCCGTATTTTTCTTGACTATTTATGGGATTCTTCTTGAAATGTTGTTTACTGAAAATTATAAATGGCCATTAAAAATGTCTTTAAATGTCAATATTAAGAAAAAAGGATTTGAATAAAAGCAATAGCTTACCCACTGGTAGATGAGAAAAATTTTGAAAAGTAAATATCGTACATATTTTGGTAGCTAATTATTGAAATATGTGTTATGTCCTCACTTGACATTAGTAATCAATTCTTAACTAATAATTCTCTGGACTTCCTAATTGGTGATCTTATTTGTCAGAACATGTTTATTACATAGTCAGAAATGTATGCAGAGGAAGTCTTTAACCTTCTAATTTTCCGCATTCTGTACCTATTCCTGCTTATGACTATAGTCCAATCCTCATTATACCAGTGACCTAAAATCACATTAATGCACAAAGCAGTCCAATGAAAATCGATCAGTCTTTTCCTCTGTGTACATGGAGGTATATATTGAAATGTTTGGAAACTTGCTGTTTTATCTCTGATTAATTATTTAATACTCACACAATTTTTTATTCCCATATTATTTTGAACTGCCATAGAATCAATTTTTATATATTCTAAAATTACATATATATGTGTGTAAAGTTTTATATGTGTATGTATATATTAATACACACACATATATATATGAAATTCAACTGACAAAATGAATTTTGGTCCCATAGTATACCATCGTATTATCAATTGACTTTCACATTTAGATTGCCTTTTAGTAAATAAATTAGAGCCTCATCTGTAGTTAGTAGACAATCTTGAAGTTTACAGTTGTTTATGATATCCTTTATTAAAGTTACATTGACAATTATAGCAGAAAAATAAAGACAGTCCTAACAGGTTTGAAAGAATGATCAACTATTCAAAAAGCCATATTTCACACTGCTTTTCAGTGATATTGCAAATGTGTTAGAATAGAGTATATGTTTAAAATCCATTAAGAATTTGATAAACATTATTAGGAAATAATTTCCTTTGAAGAATAGTTCTAATATTAGGAGCACAAGTCAGTTATCCTCTACCAGTATTTCTCAGGGCAGTATTTTAATGTGTGATTTGTTTATTCATTTATATTTAAGAACATCTCTCTAGAGTTCTCAGTGATAAAACAGTAACAGTTTTTGACAAAAAAAAACTTAAATGATACTTGTTTTACAGAGAGCTTAAAAATTCTGTCAGCTTAGTCAAGTTTTTAATTTTCCAAAAATAATTTACAATACTTATTACAATCAGAAGGATAATATTCATTGTGGAAAGTTTGCATATGATTATGCTGTAGCATGCTCCTGAATATCTACTTTACTCTCACTCTGTCAATTCAAAGAATGTTTGTTCCTTCACCAAAAATATTCAGTTCTTTTTTAATGCAATTTTCCTTTTCTTCTCAAGTGGAAACTTTTGGCTCTTCTCATTCAGAAGGGATGAAAATAAAGTATATTTCCTTTTCATTGCTCATTATATGTTGGGAAATACAGAGGACTAAAAGTGGTTCCCAAATAGTCACTTACATGGTATATTATTAACATCTATCTTTTGTTAAATATCTAATAGGTATCAGGCACTGGGCTGAGCTTTTTACATATATTACCTCATTTTAATCCTGAAACACACATTATTAAGTAAGATTTAGTATTAAAACATGCCAGCATATTGAGAAATCACATCTAAAGTAAATAATTCGGACCGATATTTTAATTTTGTTCTATTTGTAAATGGGTAATATTTTATTTCACCAATTTACCAATTATACATTAAATATATTTAGCATTTTATTATTAGAAATGCTTTTCATGGATTTGATATATATGAATTTTGTTATTTTTTTATTGTTATTTTATTATTCATTATTTTTCTTTAATGGTATGGCGTTTCTAATATTTCCCCTACTGAAAATTTGTATAAATATTGCTCAGGGCTTTGTAACTTTAAGACAGATCTGATAATGATAAATGTGGCATACTCATGTTCTAGGGAACAGATGTAAGAATTATGCCAGCTTGCTCAATAAATGCTTGTGATCTTTGACAAGTGACTTCACCCTCCAGAAGTGATTCTTCTTTTATGGTTAATATTAATGTAACATATCCCATGGTATCAAAAGTCCTTTTACATATATGCAATTCTAAGGCTTATATTTCTTTTTTTTCCTAAGGCTTATATTTCTATAGAGACATTAGACAATGCTATTACATAGACAATGCTATTACTAAATAATAGCAATGCTATTGCTATTATTTAGACATTGCAAAAGCAATGCAATATTGCTTTTATTCAAATCCTTTGTCTAATGTCTCTATAATTCTAATGTCTAATATTCTAATTCTAATAGCATTGTCTAATGTCTCTATAATTGTCTCTAATATTCTAATTCTAATAGCATTGTCTAATGTCTCTAAAATGTCTCTATAATTCTAATGTCTATATTCTAATTCTAATAGCATTGTCTAATGTCTCTATAATTCTCAATAGGTTCTACATGGCAAATATTATGTATCATACATTTGTGTATAAGGGAGAGGTAAGCTGCATAATTGTTCTCCCTGTGGTACATACATTCTTGTATATAGTGAACAATAAGTAGTATATTAAGACCATACTTAATCAAATTAAAGGTGTGTGTTTGGGCCAATAAATGCTATAAAGGTACTATTGAGCTTGTAGTCTTTACATGTGAACACACGCACACGCGGAGAAATGCACATACGTGCCTATTTACTTTTATATAACCATGCATTCAGATTCTCTTTATTTCCTACATCACAAAATTGCCAGTTGAGGGGACCGAAAATGATCTGCTACATATAGGGATGTGTATAGCTATAGATATATGTCATCTGTATACATACATTCTATATATATTATCTCTATTTTTCCAAATGTAATACGTCTCTACATATAACATCCCCATATATAAATACATATATATTTATTATACTTCACTATATATAATATTGAATTGGAATTAGAATGCTAACAAACTCCTAAAATTTGGATTGCTTGAGTGTTCAGAGATCTTTTTACCAGAATTATCTTATAGAGTTACTGATACTAGTTGACTTCCTCTGGGTTAAGTAACTTGTCAGAAACAGTTATTGGAAAGGAACGGACCTTCAAATTTGTATTCCTGAAAACTGCGAGACCCATTACATTAACAAATGAAACTCTCAATAAAACTGAAAGACGGTAATTCATATATATGAGACCTTTATGAGACTCTTTGT